TTAAAATATCAGCTCCCAAAACAAGTGATAATAGTGTCTTCATTCATAAAAACCACTGCAAGGGGTTTGCACAACCAGCTCCAATAGCCCCCACATTTCCACAGGGAATGCATTTCAAGCCCCCCAGTGGATGTATGAAATGGTGAATAGTACCAACTCCTGTATACACTGTGCCTTTTCCTACATGTACATATCTATATATGCTTTTTCCTATATATACATATTGATACTAAGCTCAATTTACAAGTTAGGACAATAAGATGTTAACATTAATAAAGAATAATTAAATAGAATAATTATAACTATACACTATACTAAAAGGTATGTAAATGTGCCCACTGTCTCTCAGGATACACTACCTTATTATGCAGTTTTCACTCTTCACTGATGATGGGTGATGATACTTAAAGGAAGTTCTTGGACATGACAACTTCTGAGGTATAGTTTCTCTTCTCTACTTTGTCGCCTGCTCCAGTGTGTTCGTGTTCACTTACTTCCTTTTGTCATTCCTCCTTGGTTTTCTCATTTGCATCAATCATTAGGGGCATTATACTCATCACTTGCCTCTCAGAGCTTAGGGAAGATAAATGAGATAATGTGCTAAAAACCTATTGGACTCCTCAGAAACAAGGTGGTACATATGCACAGTATTTCATCCTTATTTATCTCCAGTTTTAAAGAAAATGAAATAAAATGAATGCAGCTGGGGCTTGAGTCAGAGTGAGAATCAGGAGCTGAAGCAATCATTTGGGAAAGTTATTCCTTACTTTAGGGACAGATTTTCTTGTCAAGAACCTTAAAAATTAGATCCTGAACACTTTTCTTTCCTAACCAATTCTGTGCACATGGTGATTTTTACTGAAGCTCATTATAATCTCATAGTTTCCTTGTAGCTTGTTAAGATTGTACTTTTCTTAGAAATTTATAAAAACTTTCTTACAGAAAATGGAGGATTTTTAAAAACAAAAAATGGCAAGATAAAATATTCAAGATAGCTTTTATGAAAAAGAATGAGAAAAAGACATACTTCTATCACTCTGCTCTTTCAAGAAAGAATGTCCAGACATAGAAGCTAGACTTTCAAAACTGTACATGTACCTACCAATACCAAAGCAATTCCACTTCTCAGGGTAAAGATTAGATCTTTCTACATACATTATTAATCCATGGGTTTTTGTTTTGTTTTGTTTTGTTTTGTTTTTGTTTTGGTACCAGGGATTGAACTCAGGTCCTTGCACTTGCAAGGCAGGAGGTGGCACCACTGAGCTAAATCCTCAGCCCTAGATTATTGGTCTAAAGAGAGAAGATTCATAAGAAGCTCTCAAGCCTGGCCCCTTTTACCCCAAGCATAGAGGAGACCCTGTAGCCAACTTTAGAACTAGATTTTTTTACGGAATGCTTGCAATATTTCTTATAATTATATACAGCATTCTGTTTCGCAGTCACAATTTCACTATTTCCCTTATTTCCAAAATTAGATTAAATAACTTGCCTGTGTCCACACAGATAGGAAGTAGGATACCGTGCATCGAAAATGACATGGCATGTCTGTAGCTATCGTTGTTATATTATAATGTTTCTGAAAAGGAATTCAGGAACCAATTCTATATTCAAAATATATCTTATAAAACTGAGTGCATGAGTAAGTCATCCCATTGGCTCCAAGCACTTTTGAGGGCTTTGAATATAATTTGTTTATCTTTGTGGAAAACTCAATCTCAAGTTTAATGTACGTCCACATGAAGAATGTCTTCAGTAAATGGTTATAAAGGAAATACTATAATCTCCTTCATTCAGATTTCAAAAACTGAGGATTTAAGATGTGAAGCAATTATGTCCACAGGTTCCTTTAGCTGGTAAGGACTAAAACCAAGATTTCAGGCCAGGATTTGTGACTTGTTTCTGGTTCTCCTTAAGATTCTGAAGCCTCAACCACTCTTTCCCCGTTTTGATCCCAGGTTTCTAATTTTGTAAGGTTCTGGATCATGTCTTTAAAATATCTACATAGGAAATTTGGAGAAAATGCTGTACTATGTACATTGAACCAATAGGCAGCTCTAGACATTAAAAGACAGAGGAGTAGGTAGAGATTTTTTTTAAGTTCCTACAAGATACCAGATACACGGCTAGATGCGATACTAACCTCATTAATATAAACATTGTAGCTATTACAAAATGTAGTTACTATGGCCCTATTTTATAGATGTGGAAACTAAGTAAATTACTCTTTCAAGGTCACATAATCAGTGTAAACTCAAGTCGCCCAACTCTAAAACCCAAATTCAACTATACAAAACAAGGATGACATAGAACAGAGTCTTTCAGAGCTTTATTTTAATTGAATTATGGAATGAATGACAAAGACTATTTCTATTTTCTTTATTTAAAAGAAAGGATAGATTTTACTGGATCTTGGTATAGTTGTAAACTTTATTATCAAAAAAGTATTATCATTGAGATGTTTGGATATGACCACTATGCATTTATGAAATGAACTGAAAAGTAACAGAAACTGGTAGCAGAAACAATAGGCCTTTGGAGAGGGCCAAAAGTATTGGTATTCATTTGTTCACCTTCTTCCATGTTTCCATGAGTGTCCACCCTTGAAGACCTGCCAGCTCTGTCAAAAGACCACTCTCTCATCAGTGTCAGGTAATAGCTGGTTCCATGTGTCCACCCACGTGGCCATCCATTACAAACCACTGGCATTCTTTCATTCAGTGAGAGCCAGGAACTGCAGTTCCTTTCTTTCTTCAGCCTCACCTCCCTCTTTTTTTTATGTAGAGAGACTTAATAGCTACACTTAAAAGAGAAACTTGTCAGAATGTAAGCAGATTCCACCTTTTGCGCTGCTGCTGTGGCTTCTGGCTAGAAGCCTACGCCAGAGACAGGTGGGTCACAGTGAGCTTCTGGGCACACCTGGGAGAGGAACCTGCTAGGACAGAGGGGTGATGATGACAAATTAAAATACTGTTGAAGCAGAGTGGAACAGCAGCTGGTGTGTAGAGGATGTCATTAAGGCTCTAAATGGGGTCTGAAGGTATGTTTTGAAAATGTAATGCTTCAAATGAAACTTAGAAGCTGAGAATTTATTTTTATGGTTATTTTGCTTCAGAATAAAGAGATGAGATGCCACATATCTGTCAGGTTGTGAAAATTTTTCAAAATTTGCTGAATAATTGCTTCCTTGATTTTTGGATACAGACCACAGTATATTTTATATATCCGTAATGCCAAACTTTGTAAATTTAAAATAAAGAATCTTTCTCACTCCTCAGAATGAATGCTAAACACTACATATATCATACCATAGAATTCCCATATGCACACTGTTGTCCAGGAGAATACTTGTACCCTCTGCATCCCCTAACTCAGAACTCAGAACATTCCTGATGAGACTAGAGAGGCCATACCTGCCCCAGGAACTGGCCAGGATAGTCCTGAGTGTCCTGTGCAGCCAGATTTGGGGCTACCTACAGAGTTTTACGGGTCTTTTTTACTGACTTAAGCTGGGTCATGGGATGGAGAAAACAGAAAACAATCTACTTTATTTCTCCAGTGATATGTTCAGTCAAAATCTACCAAAAATGAATTGGTCTCTCATGTGGTCAGTCTTTTAAAGGGTACCTTCTATTTAAAATAAAAATGCAAGATCCCAACAATGAATGTAACTGTACTGTATCCTAAAATGTACCAATAAAGTCACTTAAAGCTGAAAAAAAAATTTAAAAATGCATCTACTGAGACCAAATGTCATTATCTTGCCAACTCAATATAACTGCAGCTGAGTCATCTTTCCTTGACCCAAATTTATGTATTATGAAGGTCTTTTCTTTCTTGTTTTTGTGAAAGATAATTCCCTGCTTTAGTGTTTCACTCAGTCAAAAAATGTTTTGCAGCTTTAGCCTAGCTTACACAGGTCCACATCTATTCTAGTTACTTAGCACCAGCGGCCCTTCTCCAAAGAACCAGTCTTTCAGCAGAATCACATGTTGTTGGTTTCCGGTTGACTCTCAAGCCCAGACATTCAGTGCCACGTCAGGAAGGCACACGCTGCTATTGAACTGGCTGCTTCCAAATGCTACTGTATAACTTGCCAGCTGCGGCCAATTTAACCTAAACTCTCATCCTGGTCTCTCAAGTTTGAAAATTGAGATGATTTCTGTCACATAGACCATATAGTGGAGGATGTTAGGCACTGCTGGTCCTCTGGATATGAATACCCTGAACACCAAACCCTGACAGCCTGGGATCCACACTTTCAGGCAGGCATTGTCTGAACAGCTGTTAAACTTCACCATCAGCAGCATGACTACATTGAGAAGAGATAACAAGAGGAAATGACGCAAGCATGCATATCAACCAGAAAGACTAGGCAGGGGCTCATCTGAAATTCTAGCTATCTCTAATCAACTAGACAACATCCCATCCACTCCTGAAATGTTTGAAAGAATTCGTAGTTGCAGAGAGAATATACTACAAATAGGAATGAAGCCAAATAAACCTTGTGAATATTAATAATGTTAGCTTTATATTTCAAGGGATGTTGTAACATATGAAACATCTGTTTTACATTTAAACAGTTCAGCCAACCCTCAGTCATTTTACATACAGCCATCCCTTTGACTATAGAACTCATTTAGGATGTGAAGACGAAATAGTTAAGCTAAATCATGTGATTTCCAGAATCGATAATAATTATAAGCTTTTAGATTTCTCTATTCCTCTCTTTCCCTTTAAGATTTTCACTTTCACAACTGCAATAATTTCACCTTGAAATTTAAGTAAGTGAAGAACAGAAAAACTCAAATAGGGACCTAAACACAGATCATGCAAACTTAAATTGCATTTTTAGTCATATATACAATGTTTTTATGCTCTTTTTATTTCTACCACTATGACATTGGCGAATTATGATAAAGTCTATACTTTCAAGGAATGTGAACAAAAGACTATATAATACTTTCACAGTTAAATTCCTTCCCACCTTGACTTCCAAATTTCAGTACAATATTGGCACAAATCAGGCAGCTAAATGGCTTGTTTCATGAGTAAAAAAATTATTATTTGTGGTATCTAATTCTTTGCTAACCTAAGAAATTCTGTTGTGGAGAAAAAAGAATATTTAAGTGGGAGTCAGGAAACCTGGATTACAATCCCAGAGTGACCTTGTATTAATCGGATGATTTCCCTTCTTGAAAAATCACGTACCTTATTTGTCCATTGAAAGAACTGGCATTCATTAGTTCTCTCTCCACTGCTAATGCTTTAAGGATTTTATTGAATCAATAGTGTAGCAGGATTATAGTATCAATAGTCCTCCTCTGAAATCTAATGCAGGCAGAGTGTTTCAGAAGGCAGGGCTGGAGAAAAAATGAAATGTGGAAAGACAAGGAACGATGAGGAGAAGAGGAGAAGAAGATGAAGGGGGAGAAAGCAAAGGAAGGCTCCTTTGGAAGTCATACAGTGCCAGACTGAGGTGAAACTCCAGATGACTATGGTTTGTCTTTTCATTTCTCCCTCTTCTTTATTCATTCAGTTCCTAGCTCCCAGGTTCTCTCCCTCGATATCCAGACAAACCCTGTCTTGCTGATGGTATTATCATCACATCCTCCCAATATCTGCTGTGCCCAAAAGATCCGCACCTCCAAAATCACACCTTTATTTTCTCAACTCAATAACCCATGTATCTGACTTTGGACTCAAGTTGGGAAAGGCATGAAGTATCCCCTAACTGAGAATGATTTATTCTTTAACATTTTCCCACCTACTCAGTTACACATTTTTAAAAAGAAAGTACTTGCAGCTTGCATGTTAAGCAGAGCACAAAGCGAAGGCAAATTCAGGAGATTGGCAGCAGCATTATGTAACTGCCACCAGAGGCATCTAGGTTTCCTAAACTTCTGATCTGCCCCTTCCTCAGAAACTCTCTGGCTTTCCTTGTCTCTTCCCATCTTTTGCATGTGAATACGTAGATGCTTGGAAGCCAGGGTCACATTACACAGCTCCCTTGAGCATCACAAATTCTTCATGAACTGAATCACAATTTACTATAAATAAGCAAACATAACCAAACAAATGAATAAATAATCAACAGTTTCCATGGTGATGACATTAGGGGCTATGCCTCTGAGAGCAGAAGAAGTGTGGGGCTTCTCCTTAAGTCAAAGGAAACTTAGATACACGTAGCAGCAAACTGAGAGAAAGGTGGGCAAGCAAAGTTGATCTGAAGTGGGAAATAATTCAAGGGATGTCTCAGCTCCCCACCCCCCAGAACAGGACCTTGCTCTTGCCAGGCAGGTACTGTGCCACTGAGCTAAATTCCCAGCCCACATCTCTGCTTTTTTTCCCCCTCATTTGAGTTTTGGTACATTTGGACCTTGCTCTTGCCAGGCAGGTACTGTGCCACTGAGCTAAATTCCCAGCCCACATCTCTGCTTTTTTTCCCCCTCATTTGAGTTTATTGGTACATTCTAGGTACACAGTACAGTTACATTCATCATTGGGATCTTGTACCTTTACATGGCAGGTCTTGGTTCTCTTTTTTTCCCCTTGTTCCTGCCCTTCCTTCTTTACCTCTCTCAAACAATGAAGAGTGGGTAACAAGTAGAGCTGGAGGACCAAAGATTTTCCAAGACATAGGGCTTGACTACACCAGGAAAGTCTCGGTGCTTCATTTATTGTGCAGCTGAAAGCCAGGCTTGGGACTATATCTTCCTTCAGAGCCTGTCAGCTGCTCCAGTGCCTGGCCTGTGAGGAACACACATATCCTCTTCTCTTCATGGAGGTTCCCTGGGATGATGTTCCAGAAGTTTTGATGCTGTCTTTTCACTTTCCTTATTTCTACAAGAAGACATAGAGCAAATAATTCACAGCCTAGATTATTACTTATTGAACAATTTCTATATTCCTGGAACAAATATCCATACACAGTCCAGAAAGCCTTCCTACAATTCCCAGAGGTGTTTGGATGGGCTTACCCTAGGCTCCTTGGATTCTATTGGGACAGGCAAATCTAGAGATATCAGATACTGCTGATGGACGTATGGGTGAAGGTAGAGCAGACATAATCTGGTAAGGTAACAAATACCATAAACATTTTATATTCGCTCTATCTTCCCAGACACTCAACCTAAAATGGTGCTTCCTCTTTTCTTTATGGTTCTATCCTTACATTATACATTTCCTTTTGCAAAACACATACCACTACTTCAAATAAGGTGGGAAAATAGGATTCCATTTATTTTGAAAAACATGTTCAGTCTATTTTAAAATAATATACTTAGTGTGTTTTTTAATTCAAATTTACACATATTTTTACTTGATGTAACTCTAAGTTTAAAGCAATGGGACCATTTGTTCATCTCAGAAGTACAATAAAGTATTTTTCTGTTTCTAGATTTTTTGAGTTACTCTTTAGTATTTTATTATATCGCTAACTAAATTTAAATAAATCTCATTAAGAAAATGGGGACTAAAAACACATTAATATGGATACATGTCTATTTGAGTTCATCAATAACATTAGTTATTACATCCACAGTTATGACTGGAATACATAATCTCAAATTCTATTAAATCTTATTCTTCTGGGTCCCAGCAGGTTCCCATATCAACTAATTAACACAAAGGTCATTGGCTCTCATTTTCAGAATACCAACAGATTGCGAAAACACAACACTGATTATGCTACTAGGTTTGGAAATGTACAACAGGAAAAGAATCTTAATGAGAAGGGAGGAGTAGGATCCTTCTAATTATGGCTAAAATTTAATAAAAATAATAACATTCCAATCATATCTCTGAATAGAGAACACCGGACATTGTTGTTAGCACATCACTTCTGCCTGTGGAATTTCCAAGATCCTTATAAAAATGGCGGCCCAGTATATCATCTCAGCAGAAAAGTGACTCAGTAAAGAAAATGTATCACATGCCTTAGTGTTAGCGATGTGCCGGTGGGGTAACACACTGAAGAAGAAAGAACTCCTACTTCTGCTTTTTTAGAGTTCACTCGGAGGTGAACACTAAAATTGGGAATACCAAGATACTCTAATATAAATTGGAAGGTGATCCATGCCAGAAAAAGTTTATGTTCCATTGCGTGACAGAAAAGGAAAAGTTGAGAGGAAACTATTTTTAGTTGGAGAGGAAATATGCAGGGCTTGTATTGTAATACCTAGAAGTATAATGAGCACACAGATAATAGCTCATACAAGAACAAATTACAAAATTACTTAGAAATCTTTCAGCTGGGTCTTGAGAATGAAAAGAATTTGCATATGTAGTGATGAAGAAAAGTGTATTCCAGCACATGAGCACAGGGATAATACAGATGATCCCCAGATATGCAAAGCATAATGTTTATTTATTCAACCACGAGGGACCTGTCATTTCTACTGTCCTAAGTCTTCTCCAGTCGTGTCTTCCATAGATAGGCCTCAGCTTGGCAAAGGCAGCAGAGACCCAAAGGAGTTCTCATTAATGCAGCATGATGGTTCTATTTTGCTGACAAATGGTGGAAAAATAATTGATTGATGAAGGTTCTTTGCAATCACAGAAGCATAGCCGAGAATACAAATTAATGTGACATCTTTGGGAGGAAATCTTCAAACTCTGCCATCAAGTAGGGAAGTTCACCACAATTAGTTATTCTGGCTTTCAGGTGGTAGAGAAAGTAAATAATGGATAACAGTTGTCAGATCGATACAACAACCTGTCTTGAGGACATGGAGGCCACTCTCAAGGCTGCAAGGCCTCTGAGTTAGGTCACCCAGGGGTTTGGAGGAGCCAAAGAGTGGGAAAATCTGCCAAAGAAACATACCAAATCATGTAATCTCTTGAATGCAATGGTTTATTGAGCATTTATCATATTCACACCATGACATGGGGCAATCTCACCCATGGCATAGACTGGAAGCTGGAGGCAGTGCTGACAGGGCAACATCTTGTTTCACCTAGTCTACACACTGTGAGAACACAGGGTGGGAGTGCCTAAAGGGCAGAACTGAAACTTAGAGCCATCTGGAGACAGCACTGGAAATCTCAGTGATCTGGATATGCCGACCAAGCACTGGAACTCACTGAGATCTGGAGATCAGTACAGCCAGAGGGGACGTTCCGGACAAGCCAAGTGATGGTCACAGACAGTTGCAGAGCTAGAGTGGCAGCTCTGTGAAGAGCAGTATGAGAGGCAGGCAGAGTCCACTTGCATGCAACCAGAAAATTTAGAGGAAGGGCAGCCAGAGGCTTCTTCTTTTGCACTTTAGACAGTTTGCTACAAACAACAAGTGCTACTCTTACAGTGGTATACCTATAGCATGTGCTAATCTTGTGGTGCTAAAAATATATTTTTCTTTATGGTACAAATATATGATGGCACTGAAGACCTCAATTACTTCTGTGAGGAAAGGAAGGCTATGAGCAGTGGAAGTTTCAGGTTGTTTCTCATATCACCCACCATCTAATTAGATTTTCAGCGCTTATGGTTGATATGAAGGCATGCTTTTATAAGCTATCTTGTGGCCATTTGAAATGTAATTATTTTGGCATTATTTAGAAACCTTCTCCAAATAAATAAATAAAGTGTAATAACCTAGAATTTTATATTTGCACCATGAAACATAATTCACTTATTTTTAAAAAATGAGTTAGTTCTAGTGACACAGAGTAGTTTCCATTAGTATGAAATCAAGTTAGAGGGGTAAAACTGGAATGAAGCCTATTTTATTTTTGTACAACAAACTATTTTTTAGAAAATATATTTTTATAAGTCTCTTGAAAGTGTACACAAGATAAGTTTTGGCATGCAGGCCATATGGTTATCACACTATATGGTTTCCACACAAGTTTTCTCACAGGCACACTGGTCATTTGACTATCATGAGCTGGTTGAGACCCATACAGTAAGTGTAGAAGCAGACAGAAGCAAAAGATAGTTTCTGTCCTGCTCACACCATAACTCCTCTTCAACTGTATACCTAAAATTTACCAATAACTTCAAAGAGAGAAAAAATAAAATAAAACAAACAAAACCAAATTGCTATTTGGTAATTGAAATAAATCAAGTTTCTACCATTTGGGACTAAAGAGCAAAGGAGAAGTCATGGGGACAGCTCATATATGAAAAAAGCTGACATATTCAGGAAGCTCGGCTTCAAAAGATTGTACTTGGAACACGAGAAAAACAGAAAGAGTACCAGGTAGGATAATACAATGAAAGAGAATCCAGTCTTGATCTTATTTGAAATTCAATATAGCTTCCTACTAAATTTGCATGCACTTTAACTCATTTAAAACTCCTATAATTATATTCTAAGTGTACTCACATGTAAAATTTACATGCATTCATAAATGCAATTACTACACATGTATTTTTTATTTTTAAAGTGTGATATTTTATACTTTTATACTATCTTCCTATCTTCCTTCCACCTATATAATTTTCTACTCCAAGTAACCTTATGAACACATTGTATGTTATTCTACATTTTCTTCATGTTCATTTAATAATTTATATATGTATAAGTAGACATGTATAGGGACTTTTGCAGTCTGTTGTATACAAAAATAGGCTTCTCATTAGTTATACTTCTCTATCTTGATTTCATACTAATGGAAACTATTCTGTGTCACTAGAACTAACTCATTTTTTAAAAAGTAAGTGAATTATGTTTCATGGTGTGAATATAAAATTCTAGGTTATTATACTTTATTTACTTGGAGGTTTCTAAATGATGCCAAAACAATTATATTTCAATTGTCCACAAGATAGGCTTATAAAAGCATGTCTTCATATCAACCATAAACACCAAAAATCTAATTAGATGGTGGGCATTATGAGGAGCAACTGGAGAATTCCACTACTCATATCCTTCCCTCGTGGAGGTAATTGAGGTCTTCAGTGCCACCATATGGGCAGCAGAACAAATAATAAAGACCCACATTTAAATCAACCCTCCAAATTAAACTAGTGTTTGGCCGTTTTCCACTATGTATTCACTTAATAACTAAATTCTGCATAGTTGGAGTTTTCTTTTTTATATAGACAATTTTTGTCTCAGGCTTACTTCTAATATACTAGATTCTCCAACCCACCTGCCATGTCATCAAAAGTACAAACTTCTTTTTTGCCCGCTCGTCCCCTTTTGTTTGCTGTAGTAAGTTTGGACTTCCAGTTGTATAGATGGAGTGATGTAAACAATAAACACTGGTTTCTCACAGTTCTGGAGGCTGGGTAGCCTAAGGTCAAAGTGCCAGCCAATGCAGTTTCTAGTGAGGGTCTCATTCCTGTTGTGCAGAAGTCTCTGCCTTTTGTTGCCCTCTCACATGTCAGAGAGTAGAGAACCATGGCTAGCACTTCTGTCTCTTCTGAAGAGCATTAATCCTATTCATGGGGGCTCCAGTCTTCTCACTCAAAGCTCCACCTCCAAATACCTTGACTTTGGGTATTAGGCTTCAACGTATGATTTAGGGCACATAGTCAGTCCACAGCACTTTCCATGCCAAGATATTTTTCTGGTTCAGTCATCCCCATCCCTGAACTAATCCTCTTTCTCATGTTCCCTGTCTCCTCAGTTTAGTATCTCTGGCTCCCATTCCTCATTATAGACATCATCATAAAAATCATCCTCCTGATTTTCAAGCAGTTAAATTAGAACCAAATCCCTGAGTGCCCTGTCTTTATTACCTTACTCAGTTTTGTGGGCCCAGACACTGCACAGTTTATGGGTCTCCTGCGTGGTACATGCCCAATAGACATTTGTTGGGTTGGCATTGTTGTGTGGTGTTGTAGTTGTATTTTCAACAGCTTCATGGCGACTTTGGCTCACATAGTCAGTCAC